TCAAGACTCATCCCTAATACCCCTCATTTCTCCAAGGATCTAACAAACTAGTATGTGATGGTTAGAGAAGTATAAAGTCTACTTCAAGAAAAACTATCTTGCCTGTTGAAAAAGTTATCACTCTGTGTAGGGAGTACATAGGGGATTGGAGTCTACAGATACCACAACAAGCAGGATGAAATATATGGCTACAGCAAGCCAAATCTTGAGTCGTTGCACTCACCTGGAATTTGAGATTCCATGCGATGGCTTGAGCACTTGGAAGAGGTGTTAATTCTAGGTACACCTGGTTAGTTCTTGGCATATAGGAATCCAATGGCTCAGAATGATTATGTGTGACCTACACCATTGCCCCATGCATTCTCTGCAAGAGAATCCAGAGGCCACCTCCTTCATGGAGGCATCAGGAATTGCAGGGTGTAGAGAAGGGCACAGTGTCCTTGGAAACACTTGTGATGGCTGTCCTATGGAGACTGTTGATGAGAGTAGGGAACACAGTAATAGAATTGAGTCCTCTTTTCCCAATGGTAATAATAGGATCCCGAGGCAGGAGAGGCCAGGGAAGCAGTTCATTGTCAAAGTCAAGGTGGGCACATTGACCACAGTGAGCTTCAGAGACCTAAGCCAAAAGGTAAGTTGATTGTAGACTTCATAGTAGTGAATTATATGGGCAGCTTCACTTATAAAACTAGAAGGAATCTGGATCTGATAATATGTATCAAGGGTCTTAAGAAGGATTAACAACCTCTGCCAATTCCCAGACCTAAATGTTTCCTTTGAAGGGAGGCCACACCCCTTTGAGAAAGAATCTTGCAACACATCTGAGGACACGCTTATTCTCTCCCCTCACACCATCTTCAGAGGCAGGTGCAGTGAACCAGCACAAGCCATTTGCAGCCATTTAACAGGAAACTTGTACATTGGTGAAAAGAAATTTTCTTTTCTGGTGTTAATTTTCTGCAATTCTCGGTGACCCAAAAATACCCTATGGTTCACTTAGAAGCTCATGTAATAGCTGATCCTGTGGAACAGTGGACCCATCCTGAGGTTATTTCTCCAGCCCCAGAATGAGTCCTGGGATAGATAATATGTCGAATAATGTCAGAATCTCCAAGTTTATTCTCTATTCTATTAAGAAGTTTCTCATTCCATACCAAGATAGTAAAACAAAAGAAATACAACATCCTAATGGAAATTTTAGGAGCTAGTGCTAATCGGTGATTTAAAATTACCCTGCAAAGTGAGAGACAGATTGTTGCACTAATCACACACACACACAAAATGGTACTATTCTTGGTGGTCCACTTTCAGTCTTGCAGGCAACATATAACACATTGAAGAAGCTACTCCAACCCATTACCAGGTGACCTCCTGAAGCTGCAAGGTTTGAGGGACACTGAAGCAAGTAAAGGCCCTGCAGCAGGCCCGGGCTGCTGTGCATGTTGCCCTTCCACTTGGGCCTTCTGTAACATCATAGCACATTGAAGAAGTCCTCAGTGTCTGTGGCAGACCTCAGTGGGAAAACCACAGTGCAGACCATGAACGATTGGATAAGGTCCATGCCCTCCCATTCTACTAGTCTCCATTTTAAAAGCAGCTATTGGCTCCCAGTGGGCCCTGTTACAAATTGAGGACCCTATTGTGGGAAACAGTGTTAACAGGCAAGTTGAACTGCATGTTGTAAGCCAAGTGTCATCTAACCAACTGATCCATAATGTTAGACGTGTGCACTGGTCTTGTGTTATGTGGGCTTGAGCCCAAGCAGGTGTGGAAGGCACACATAAATTACAGGAGGAAGTGGTTCCAATCCCTACAGTAGCTCTGTCTGTTGCTTTGTCACCTGTTCCTCCACGCTTGCCTACACATGACCTTATCTGGGGTGCATGGCCTTTATTTTCATGTACCTGTCAAAGCTGCACGTAGCTACTAATACAACTCAGGAAGGACAGGATTGTCATGTGCAGCAGAAGAGCAAACAGACTCTTCATCTTGAATTCAGACTGTAAAAGTGTGTCCTCACAGTCCCTGTGAACTTTGGGGGTTTACGCATGAGGTGCCAGAACAATGCCTAACTGTGGTAGTTCAATATTCACAGCAAAGTTACCATTTGTTCCTTCAGTGTTGTCTTTTTCTATCATCATGAAACAGGATTTAGTAAGCACTGGATTGTTTACCTACTAATTCTGGAGACAGTATCAGGAGAGAGAATTGACAAATTTGACAGAAAATCTGATGGCACTTTCATTGTTTCCTTTATTGCAGATATGAACTTTTTTCATCTGCTGAAAATGGTGAACAGAGCTGAGTATCTTCCATCTGCCCATCAGATCCACTTTCCTTCTATTGTCTGACTCAGTGTCCACAGGAGCTTACCTACATGGACAACATCAACATTTCCTCTCACCCTTGGCTTCTGGCTGGGTTCAGACAATGGGAAGGACAGTGAAAATCAGAGGGAGGAAAAGGAGTGAAGTCAGAAAAGTCTCACAGCCCCTTCCCTGCAAAGTGATTCTTGATGACCGCAACTCTCCACAGAAGCTCCTGTCATGGGTCCCTTTCCATACTGCTCCCTGTATCTGAAGGTCCTGGTGACCCTCACCCTCAGAGGCCTACAAGTGCTTCCTCTGACTAGTTCCAAGGACTGCACCATCCCTGATTAAATTCCCTGTAAGCTACCCTAATCGAACAACCATCTGTTCAGCCAGGGCTCTGACTGCTGCACTAGGGAAATGTAATAAATGAGCCAGGCAGCCTTTAGTGCTTTTTTGATGTTTGCAATCTTTATTTTAAAGTAAAACAAGTCATCCCAGTCAAATGATTTACCTCAGTAACATTTAGGTGTTTAGGCACCAGAAAAGGTAGAACAGTGCCAGTTTATCAACAGAGTTTTGAATTTAAGAACAGAAATAGAAAACTGAGCTAGGAGGGAACTGGTATGGGAAGTTAGAGAAAGGGATGAGTTGGAGGTGTCACTGGAGGACTCTCTTGAGGTGATAATCTGGAGGAGATAGCTGGGAGTATCGGAAGTATCAGAGAGAGACATTTGAGATGAAGAATTAAAGGTGCAGTTACTGGTGATCCAGTCAGTGTGTAATGAGGCTTGAGTGTCAAATCTCAGGGAATTCTGAGAAAGTTGAAGGGGTGAGGGAGAGAAGAAGAAATGAGCCAGGAGCTCAGGTATTTAAGAATGAGATGTGGTAACTGAGGAGCTGAGATGGGAGGAGGAGAGGTAGAGGTTGTTCACCACAGGGGAAGAGATACTGAGGGAGGAGAGAACAGACATGAATTAGGAGCAGCATCTGGGCACAAGGAAGGTGCCAACACCAGCTCCAGGCATGGAAACATGTGGGAAAGAGAAAACAAAGCCTTTTGGTGGAAGGACTCAGGGCATCTAAGCTTCAGTGAGGCAACATGAAAAGGGAGCAGAGCTGGAATGCTGGCAGGGCTCCTTTCCTGGAAAGACTGGGGAGTGAGGGCTTCACTTGAGCAGTGAGTCATGTGCACATGCAATTTCTGTGATTTACTCAACCCAGATTTTAAAACAAAAATGGGGCTTTTTGTCACTTTTGCTGACAGGGAATTCAAAGATAGCTCAAGAAGCTAAAGGACATATTTTCATAAACTTTCTCCTCACCTTTCTGGTTGTCACTTTACAAATATAGACTCTAAACTATAGAAAGGGTACACCTACCCTGAGGGTTCCAGGGACAGAAATGGGATCTCCTACATTTTAGTTCTTGGTGCCCTGAGGATCTTAAACCTTTCAAAATCAGATACTTTACAGAACTACTGCTTCTGAGCAGAGTCCTCAGTAAACATCTTCTTTTTCTTCATCTTATCTCAAGGTATCACACACAGTAGACCGAAACTGAAGAAGAGGTTTGTTGTCTGAGGTATAGCCATGGTATTGATCAAGCAGAGCAGATGAGACCTCAGCTGAAGCCCAGCTCCCTCTTGCTCTTTGCTCTTATTGTGCTTGCTTTATGTTTAATGTTCCACAAAAGAATAGCATTTAGTAAGCGTTGACTGCACCACTGGAGTCCAGCAGGTGTGCAGAGCTGAATGTATTGACCACACTTTGGGGTACTTGATAGAAATAGCATACACCATTTTCAAAACTGAAGATTATTTTTCCAGGTTGGTAAATATTTAAAATGTTATTTTTAAAAAGCACTTACGATTTCTGCAAGTCAAATATCTGGACTTTTAACTGATGACTTAAAAACTCCAGAGAGGGTTTCCCTGGTGGCACAGTGGTTGAGAGTCTGCCTGCCGATGCAGGGGACACGGGTTCGTGCCCTGGTCTGGGAAGATCCCACATGCTGTGGAGCGGCTGGGCCCGGGATCCATGGCCACTGAGCCTGCATGTCTGGAGCCTGTGCTCCACAACGGGAGAGGTCACGGCAGGGAGAGGCCCACATACCGCAAAAAAAAAAAAAAAACCTCCAGAGAAAACCATTAATGAATAACATGCAATTTTATATAATGTAAACTACTAAAAAGCAAGAGACTAACAAATTCTAAGACACTTTGTCAAGGGGCAGTATTTTTTTTTAATACATATAATGTTTCTTTACAAATTGTACGCCCTTCCCAAGAAAAGTATGCATTAAGAGGGTATACAATTTGAATGTTCATTATTTTAACATGAAAAGTGATTACATGTAGAAAAACTATCGATAGCCTCAGGAGAAGTGATATTTAAACAACACAAGCAATTTGGAGTGAATTATTGAATTTGTGTCTTTTCCTACAGAGCATAGCTTAGATGTATTTTGAGATATACATATTTTCCTGTGGTAGAATCTTGTGTAAGTTATCTTGTATTTACCACAATTTGCCAACTTCACCCAAATAAGAGTGTGGATAGCAAAGGTGTCCATTCCAGAGCACCCCCATGGTAAGCACCTTTTCTTCTCCAAAGAGTGGTTTTGGGGTAGTATTCTACTGATGTTGGTGATGGGTCAAGTTTCCCTCAGTCTTCACACATTGTATATCTACTAATTCCATCCTATCACGACATGAGCAACAAGGAGGTAACACATCCCAACCATGCAGGAGACAACCATCATTGGGAAGCCCAACCTGAAACACAAAGAGAAGTGGATTATGGTGTCTGGTGTCTGCAGGGTACTGTGAGATCTGGACTCATTATTATATTATGTTATTGCAAAAGAATGTGGCCTTACAACCTTTATATATCCATAAAGGTAACTGTCTTTTATTTCTAGAAATCAAAAGTTGGGTTCAGCCTAGATGATATGGATGTGTGCCTCCATTAGATATCCCCCATTGTATCTCCCAAATGAATGTCAGTTCATTTTGGCAGCACCATTTTACAGGCACCACCAATGTCTATTCTGCCCAGTTCCTGCATCCAAAATGCAGTGGTGCCATATGAACACAAGCATGTAGGGGCCAGGACCCCAGAGCGGACCCGGCTCCCTCAGAGCAGGTCCTCCTTTGCAGGAGCTGGCATCAGCTGCTCTCCCCCATCCAGGGCCTCCTCTCTGCACTGTCCTCCTGAGAGGTGCCTGCTCCCAAACTGTCCCCAGTCTGCAATATTCCTGGGTCCCTTCAGTCATGAAATTTTTTGCTGGGCAATCCAGTAGGGGGACGTCAGACTCTCATTATGTACCCTCATCATGGGCAGTCAAGGCACAAATCCCCACTGGAATTTTCAAGGGAACAACAACATAAAATATCAACATGTCTCTAATTATTAAAACATGCTTATATTAGTGCTTAGCAGTATGTGTGGCTGATTTTTTTTTTTTTTTTTTTTTTTTTTTTTTTTGCGGTACGCGGGCCTCTCACTGTTGTGACCTCTCCCCTTGCGGAGCACAGGCTCCGGATGCGCAGGCTCAGCGGCCATGGATCACGGGTCCAGCCGCTCCACGGTATGTGGGATCTTCCTGGACCGGGGCACGAACCCGTGTCCCCTGCATCAGCAGGCGGACTCTCAACCACTGCGCCACCAGGGAAGCCCTGATTTTTTAATTAAGTAAGTTTAGGGACAATATAAACAGAAATTTTAAATGAGTTTTTAAAGTACCTGAAAAATTCCATGAAAGAGAATCCATAACCATGCTGTTCTGCAATTCCTGAACAAACCACATTTGCTGATGCTCCAATCAGTGTGCCATTACCTAGAATCAAAATTCAAAAAGTAAAATAAAATCTCAGTTTATCTTTGTGGTAGGCTCCTGTTCTCTTTTGTTCTATGATACTTTAATCATCTCACAGGTTTTGATTGATGATTACTTTACTGTTCACTACCAAAGTGATTGCTGTGCAAATATCAGCAGGAACAAAAAAAAGATGAAGCGAATGGACATATTTTCATAAACTTTCTCCTCACCTTTCTCGTTGTCACTTTACAAATATAGACTCTAAACTATAGAAAGGGTACACCTACCCTGAGGGTTCCAGGGACAGAAATGGGATCTCCTACGTTTTAGTTCTTGGTGCCCTGAGGATCTTAAACCTTTCAAAATCAGATACTTTATACAACTACTGCTGGCAAACAGAAAATAAATTCACTGCTTGTAAATATAGTAATTCATTTATGAATAGGGCTACTTCTGTTGGATGTGATAGGGAAGAGGAAACGTTAAGGAGAATTGGCAAATCACTGTGGGACGTGGTGACATATATCTTTCAGAGGAAAATGTAAGTAGGGTCAACATCCACAGGAGAGAACATGTGTCTTCAGAGCAGTAGGATCTCAGATGAGAACCACCATCCTTAGGACTCTAGGTCTGGACACCTACCAGCAAATCCTTTGTGTGGATGGAAAGATGGATGTAAACAACCAGGATAATAAAATGCCTCTTTGGTTGGGCATTTTTGACAGCACACATGATCTGCAGGGAAACTATGTGCAAACATGTACACAAGTGTGGCCTCACAGTGAAGGATGTGACTCAAACCCAGCCCCCAACAGAGAGATGGGTTCAGGGAAGGGTAAATTTACTTAGTGAAGCCCATTGGCATCTTCCAGTCCCCACCCGCAGAGGTCAGTGTTTGGGGATGGGTGCACGACCCAGGCTCACCCAAGTTAGTTCAGTTCTGGCATTGTGCATTGCCGAGGACTATGAACTGTGAGACACAAATCTGTAGCATCCAACAGCCCTCATGGGCCTGAGGGGCTGGTCTTTCTAGGAATGGACAGCAGAGCAGGAGGGCAAGGACCAAGGAAGCTGTGCCCTTCAGTGCTACATTGGCCCAGAACTCCATGCTGGAACACTGAGGACAGAGAGAAGTAAGGAATAAATAACCTCAGAGCCATGTGACCTATGAGGTTTCTCCATGGAGGAGGACCGTGGCACCCATTCCGTTACCCATGAAAGGCCTTTGAAGGTGTGGTGTGAGTGCTCAGCTGCACACATGTCCCCTTTCCACTCAGTCCTTACACTCTTCTGAAACACACAGGCATCCAATCCGGTAGGATTCATTATGCACCAGGCCCACAGGCTGCCAGCGCAAAGCATCATGAAGAGCCTCATCTCACTTTCCCTGCCTTTACTCCATGTAAAAGTTTGACTAGGGGTGTTTCAGTGAAAACTTCTGAAATAGCACGACACATCCATTTACATGCTTTCTCTAAGGATGAAATATATTTGACATGTCAATAATATGACTTTAGATGTTAAGAGCTCAATAAAAACCTCCAGCGTCTCCCCAGAGCTCTGAGCCCACCAAGCCCAAGCCCCAATCTGCTTGTGGTCACTGTGTTTCTGATGCCCCATTTTGTGACAGTCCCCCTATTCCTCAGTGTAGTTCAGTGTATGGACCCACCCAGAGTTTTAGGAAGGGGTCAATGGAGGTGGGAGGGCAGGAGGGACAAGCCCATCACCAAGGAGAGAGGGACAGCTGCCCCATAGCAGGGGAGGGTGTGACAGGCCAACATCCAAGCTGCCTGCACAGGACAGACTTTAGAGTGGTCACAGCCAGCTAGGGAACAGAGACTCAGTCTTGCAGCTCCAAGTAACAGGATTTTGCCAATAACCTGAGTGAGGCTGGAAGCAGACCCATCCTCAGAGCCACCAGAAGGGAGCACATCCTGCAGACACCTTGATCATGGCCTTGTGAGACTCTAAGCAGGGACCCAACTGAGCCATCCTTATCTAGAAGGCAAGAACTTGCAAGATAAAAAATCCCCAAAATTTGTCTATTTTTTATGGTAAGAACTGAGTCTGGATTTCCATCTCAATTCTGAGATCTGCCTCTGCTCCCACTTTCCCCCCACCCCAGACTTCCATTAGCTTCTTCCTAACTGCCCAACCCTAAGCAGGCTCACCCTCTCACCACAGTAAGCCACTCCCCATGGAAATCAGCTCACATCCTCCAGGGGCTCACAGGGAGCCTGTTAGTGGAGAGACAAGGCGTGACACCACGTGGGAGATGTGCAGTGGGCATGAGATCAGAGAGGCAGAGAGCAAATGCTCAGGGGGCTGAGTATTGAGGTCCCCAGTGTCCCCATGAAGAAACTGAGGCACAAAGAGGCAACATACTGACTTGTTGGTGCTAGGAAGTGGGTGGGCCCAAGACTCGAACCAGGCATTCTGACTCCAGAGGAAGATCAAAGAGAGTAGGACTCAGGCTGCATGATGTAAGCCTGAGACCTCTCTGTAGACAGCCATGCAGAGCATTTGAAGGGTTCCAAGCAGGTGGAAATGTACAAATTTCATGGCAGCACTGGTCCCAGCTAGGTGCTGACATACCAGTGTGCCCATGCAGTCACACTGCCAACAAGCTGACTCTTGCTCTGGAGAGATTCCACACAGAGTCATCTTGCCTGGGTATTATTTCACAGGGTCTGACAAGTCTGCTACCACAGGGAAGCCAATGCTCCTCAGAGGGCCCTGCCTGCAGGCCTCTATCACAGAGCACACACGTCAGTAGCTGGGCATCATCTGCTCTGCCACCCCAAACACTGCTACTCCAGAACTTAACATGGAGACCTCTGCTTCTGGACAAAACAGAACTTCACACATGATTCAGGGTCACATTCAGGAACCTGGGTGACCTCTAAAAATAACAGGCAACACTTTCCTTCTCTTGTGTTGGGGATTAATGGTTGAAAAAATACTCCCTTTGCTCCCAATCAAGATGGCAGTGTAGGAGGATGTGGAACTCACCTTCCCCCACAAACACATCAAAAATACATCTACATGTATAACAAATTTCACAGAAAACCAACTGAAAGCTGACAGAAATCTCTTATACAACCAAAGCAGCAAGAAAGATTCACATGTAACTGAGCAGGACAGAAAAAGAAAAAGGCATCATGAAGGGACCAGTCCCGCTGGGAGGGAGTTGTGAAAGAGGAAAGACCACACAGTTGGTCCCTCTCCCTGGGAACCCCCTGCTTCTTCGCAGAGGTCTGCCAGGACAGATAGATGGACTGGAGAGGGCTGAACTCTACTTGCAAGGAGAGCATGTGTAGTGGCTTGCTAGTATTCAGGGTGGAGAGACTGGTGCTGACAGCTGCTACATCGTGACACTTCCCACCCCAAAACATGAACTGAGCAGGGATGATACAGTGCACATGGCTAGGCTCTGAAACTTGGGCTTCAACAGAGGGACCTTGGAAGAGGATTTGGTCTAGCTCTAGAGGCCATGGAGTGTAGTCTGGGCCAAAACTCAGAGCCCATCATTAGCACACACAGAGTTGGATACAGGTTGGCCAAAGGAGCCCGATTATCAGCACATGCAGGTCAGGGTGCAGGCCCCCCTAGGAACACCATTTTCAACATGCTCATACCAGGACACAGCTCTGGTCGTGGCAGGCTTTGTGAGCTTGGCCACAGCACTGGTAGTTCCAGGTGAAGGTCTGGCAGCAGTGGACCTTGTTGGTGCACATACCAGGTGGTGGGTGGTACCACAGAGTCACACATGTTCAGTGGACAGGCCCTGGGGAGAAGTACACAGTGGTTCCTTTCCCGGTGGGAGCACTCCAGTTCTGCCCACCTTTCACAATGCAGCTGGGAGCTAGATCTGTGACAGACAGACCCTGGGAGAGCCCTACCATAGAGGCAGCCTAGGTCCCAGGGGCAGCACAACCACCTCAATTCCAGTAGTCACAACACCCTGGTCACCAGTGACAGCCTAGCACTAGGTCTAGGATGAACAAAACAGAGAAAGGGATGCAACTTTGCAGTGCTTCTGGGAAGAACTGTGGATGGCTGTATGGGTGGCACTTAGGCCTGCTGTGACCACACAGCCTCACTTCCTTCAGTGCTCACCTCCTTGTGGATACAGCACACACTTAAGGGCAATAGAGCCTTATAGAATGCTACCCTCAGGGTTTCTACTCCAACAACTGGAAAACAGATCCTTCCCTGACAGGGCTGTGACAGCCAAGAGAAGTCCCCACCGAACACCCAGTGCAGGCTCTGGGCATCACTACATCAATCACACCCCTTATCAAGTGGATAAGGGCCAGCAGACTCTGAGGAAAGACATGGCAGGCATCCATAGCAAAAACAGGCCTCCCACCAAAAAGCTGGACTCAATCTACAGAGGGATGTTCCTTCATTAAAAAAAGCCCATCAAGACCAGAGTATACAATTGTTTCTCATAAATTCATAGAAAAAAAGAAATTTAACATTGATGAAAAAGCAGAGGGACTACTGCCAATTGAAAGAACAAAAGGGAATTCCCTGGCAGTCCAGTGGTTAGGACTATGTGCTTTCACTGCTGAGGGCCTGGGTTTCATCCCTGGTCGGGGAACTAAGATCCCACAAGCTGCATGGTGTGGCCAAGAAAATAAACAAACAAACAAATAAATAAATAAAAGAACAAGAGAAATCCCCTGAAAGAACAATGAAACAGACCTCTCCATTCTCCTAGAACCTGAGTTCAAAAAGGAGGTAATAAAAATGCTAAAAGACTTAAGAAAGATTATTGATAGAAATGCAGATCAGTGCAACAAGGAAATGGAAACTACAAAGATGAAACATTCAAATAAGACAACACAACTGCCAAGATGAAAGTCAATATAAAAAAAAAAAGTCAATCTAGAAGCAATGAAGAGCAGACTAAATAATGCAGAAGAACAAATAAGTGATCCAGAAAACAGAATAATGGCAATCACCCAATCAGAACAGCAGACAGAAAGACAAATTAAAGTATGAAAGCAAAA